TAATTTTATGGTCGAAAGACCTTCCTCGAGATCAGGGCACCGGGAGCCTATAACTCGGTATATCAGCTCTATAACAGACATTAAAAGAGTGAGGGACGACTGTTGTTGGGGGAATACCGTGCTCGCGGAGATTCCCACTCGGGAGGAAGATATTACGGCTTATAGAGTCGTTTTTTCGAGCGTGAATACCTACCCTTTCACCTTAGGGCCAGTGGGGCCATCCTTACACCGATCGACCCTGTGATTCTCGACTTCTATCGGAGTTATCAAGTAACTCTGGGTCAAGTTCATCTTTCGTTCTGGCATGTGGTTCATATGATCAGGCGTTACTCGAGCATGATAGAGGGAATGCCCTTTACCCTGAACCATCTGATCTAGATGTATAGTCCCGGTCTTCTTCGGGGGGCTTAATCAAGCTTCATTGTCGAGCCCCGAGATCCCTTTTTTCCTGCACCGATGAGTTAAGGGATGACGGATGGTTAAACCGATTCGTCCGAGTGAGGACGTCTGACCTGATCCTAGTGGAAAAGATGTCGTTCCCTGAGAAGTGGAATGCCGGGAGTAAGTAAACGTGGTGTCTTTGCCCTTTCTTGTCGATTTCTCTCTATGTGTCTCACTTTGCTTTTCTTGTCTTTTCAGCCGTAGCGATTTACCCTGGCGCAGTGTCAGATATCCAGGGTTGGGTTGGTCGTTTGTACTCAGTCTGCCCATATATCAATCGAGCATAGGGAGATTTATCCCAAGCTCGGTGGGAAGCCAAAGATTATGGTGAGCCTCGAGCCTCGACGCATCTGAACATTTCGATGTACTTTGCTGTTAGTAGCTTTCTCAATCCTATGTATTTAACCTCTGCATCTATGTAGGTCTGGGAGAAATTCTGCTGATGAGGGAGGCACCGTCCGCTGGAGGGGACGTTCGGGAGCTTGGCGAGGAGAAGAAAAGGTAGGAGAGTCTATTCGTTAGGCCACCAGAGCCCAAGAGGATCAAGGTGGAAGATTCAAAGGTTGACCCAATGGTTCCGACTTCCAAGACAACGAGGAACCTCCGTGCTAAAGGTGAGGGAGAAAGCAACTTCTTGGCACCCCCCGAAGAGTATTTGAGGTTTATTGATCCTCGAGCCGTGGGGATGGATTCTTCCGGATAGGAGTCTGATGCTGGTGTGGCCCAGCTTCATGGCGGTAAGGCAATGGATGGGGTATCGAGCACCTCCCTCGAATTGGAAGGTGGCCGGAGTTCTCCTCGAGCAGAGATGCCCTTGGCAGGCAGTCTAAAGGGGCCTCGATCTAGGACCCAGGGTGAGAAAGAGACAGACATTTTGGATGACCCCGTTAGCCCGTTGATTGTTGTCGATTCTCCTCAGGGGGAGATCCTTCCATCTTTCAAAGTGCTAGACGGGCCTTGCAAGGACCTTCTGTAGTAGGAGCACTGGTCAAAGGAGGAAAAGCACTCGAGAGGCCAGCGATCATTCTTGAGTGTAGACCCAAAGATGCTGAAATCTCCTAGCTTAGTTGGCAGGTGAGCGAAGTGGCTTCCGAAAGGGACAACCTTCGGGGGGAAAGTTACCTTGATTGAGCGTCAGCTCCAGGACACAAAGGAGGATAGTGGCAAGTATAAGAGCCTCCATTCTGAGCTGGTGGCTGTATTGGTTCGGATCAAAGCTGAGTCCGAGGCGCTTGTATCTTTGCATGGGGGAGGAGCAGTTGTTGTAGATTCTTGCATTGAGAGGATGTTTGATGGGGCTAGCCCGACTTTACCTCGAGCAGCGGATCATGCCTGGCCGGGTTCCCGAAGGTAGACCATTGAGGGTGCATTGAAAGGCATCTCGAACAGTGTTAAAAATGGGGGTGGATCCCTAGAGAGAGAGGACGTCTTTGAGAAGGGGCTGTTGGGAGGCTCGTAATCGTCTGGTGCAACCCTTGGGGAGCTATTGAGGCTGCTGGTTGGGTAGTAGATTAGGATCCTTGTTGTTTTTTCTTGTCGATCTCCCTGTTTGTATATAGTACCTTTTATTTTGGAATATGTATAAAGAGGATCGGCTTTGTTTTCCCTTATTCCCCTTTCTTCTATGAATTCATCAAGGGTTGTCGAAAGAACCTTAGACCCGCAATACAGCTTTGTGGCCCGTTTAAGCCGGCTTAGGAGTTGTCATGCTGGTAGTTGGTGCGGCCTTCAGTGTGAACTTCCATGAGCGTCCTTGCTATTTTGCCCAACCATTTTGTGTTGAGTCTCTAGGCCAAGTTTTGTCTCGAGCCTACTCAATCTTTAATCTCATGTGCCTGCATGGCCGAGTTATGATGGTTCTTATCCCTTGTTCTTGGGCATTTGTATTTCGCTTGTTTTTGGGTTCAGTTTTCGAGTCATGTTGCGACTCGAGCTTCAATTGACCCTAAAGCTTTTTTGTGCTCGTATGGGCGGATGACGATGGCATTTGCGCCTCAGGTCGAAGAGAGCATTTGAGTGTGTGGCCTGGAGGCTTGTTTGGCTGGCGACAATGGCACTTATGATGTGCCCTTAGGCATATTGTAGTGCAGTATTTTGGATCCAGTCTCCGAATTGGGCTACGACTCGAGCTCATTTTAATCTTCAAGTTTTCAATTTTTAAGCTCTTATGCTGTTTGGTCGTTGAAACCTTTTAGTATGTGGCCCATAGGCTCATTTGGCTGGTGACAATGGCTCTTACGCTTTTGCTCGTGGGCATTTTGTAGGCTATGTTTTCCTCTCGTTAAGGTCTTTTTGGAATGATTTTGCTTGACCCGTCGTCGGTTCTGGAAGACCTCGATTTCAAGTCATCAGCGGCGATGTTCGAGCACCTCGGAAGGTTCTTAGCTCTTAGGCTGAGTAGCTCGAAGCCTTGTGATTTGGAGCTAACATGGTCAAAGCTCGTTTTGCCTATTGAGTGAAGCCTGTTTTAACCGGATCTTTTCGAAGTATATTCGAAGTAATGGCCTGCAATTTTGTTAGCAATAGTCGGGCATCCCCGAGTTGCATTAATTTTGGCTGGATCGGCCATTTTGACCGTAGTCATATGTGTTTGGCCGGAGCCATTTTTGATCTCGAGTGATAGTTAAGGCGTCTACACCGAGGGTATGCCCTTTCGGGATTCTTACAAATGCGACGTATAGCCTAAACTTCGAGATTGAGTTTTATGCCTGTTGTAAGGTCTTACAAAATTTTCATGCCTGTTGAGGTCTTACAGTTTTTTATTGCTATATAGAATAGATCCGTTTATAACGAGTCTTCCCGCTTGGGGTATTATGGCCTCGGGTTTTCCAGTGTATGGCGATTGACGACAGTCTTCGATTTATCGAGTTTGTTTAGACTTGAAGGCCGTTATTCGTGAGCTCGAAAATGCCTCGTTAGGTCCTTATGAGCCCGGATTTCCGACCCTAGGGTCGTGCGTGTGCCAAATTGTTGACGCTAAGTCTTCGAGTACTTCGGGATGCATTTGGTGGGGGACCCTTGTCGTGAGTATGCTGAAATTCCCTTTTCTAGAGTATGAGATGTTTAAAAGATATTCTTTAATTGCTTGGTTTAAATACATGTTACTGGGTTGTCGTAAGCCCGACTCAGGCGTATACAGTTCGCATGACCATTTGGCCCGGTACATCATTCTCTATTGGAACCTCATTTGTCGTTTCTCGAGAAAGGCACGGACGTTGGCTCGTTAAAAACCTTGCCGGAAAAAACCCGTGTCAGGATGAAAAACTCAATCGAAGGAAAAGAGTGCGACGTTGGCTTGAGGATATTTGTGGGATTTTGCAATCGGATGCCCTAGAAGTAATACCTCTTAAGCATCTATACATTCCAGTTACTCGGAAGTTGTTCGCCCTCCATGGTGCCAAGCTTATAGGATCCTTTGCCAACTATCCCGAGGATAGGGTATGGCCCCTCCCAATTTTTGACCAGCTTCCCTTCATTAAGGTTTCGAGTGTTGAGAGTAACCTTCCTCAAGACCAAGTCCGCGATCCCAAAATATCAAAGATTTGTCCTTCTGTTGTAGTATCTTTCAAGTTTCTGCTCCTGAGCAGCCATCTGAACCAACGAAGCTTCCCGTCTTCCGTAGAGCAGCCCGAGGGCCATTTTCATGGGCTCATTGTTCGAGCCCTCATTAGTGTGCTGGAATCTGGCACTTGTTCTCCAACTTCCACTAGTATCAGTACTTCGGCGCCATATAATAGAGAGAAGGGTGTTTCGTCGGTGCTCGATTTTTAAGTTGTCCGGTATGCCCGCAGCACCTCGAGCAGCATTTCTCTCCATTTTCCCTTGGTGCTCTCCAATTTATTTTTCAAGTTCTGAATAATGGTTTTGTTTGCGGATTTGGCCTGGCCATTTGTACACGGGTGGTACGGTGTTGACATGATTCTCTTGATTTTGTTGTCTTCAAGGAACTGTGTTACCTTGCTCCCGATGAACTGCCTCCCGTTATCACATGTTATTTCCGACGGGATCCCGAACCGGCATATGATGTGATCCCATTTGAAATTGATGACTTCATTCTCTCTTATTTTTTCGAAGGCCTGCGCTTCCACCCATTTTGAAAAGTAGTTAGTCACAAACAGAGTGAATCTAGCCTTACCTGGCACCGCCGGTAAAGAGCTGACGATGTCCATTCCCTATTTCATGAATCACCATAGTGATAAAACGGAATGTAGTTGCTCACCCATCTGGTGGATCATGGGAGTGAACCTTTGACACTTGTCGCATTTCCAGATGAATTCCCTGGTGTCTTTTTCCATGCTGTCCCAATAGTAGCCCACCCTGATCACTTTTCGGACTAATGAATCGGCCCTAGAATGATTTCCGCAGATGCCCTCATGGATTTCTCTGAGCATATAATCTGTATCGCCCAGTCCCAAGCATACCGCTAGGGGGGCATCGAATGTTCTCCTGTACAGAGCCCCATTTTCGTAGGGTGTGAACCGGGCTACTTTGGTTTGTAGGGCCCTCAATTCTTTTGGATCTACGAGTAACTTCTTGTCCTTCAGATAAACCATATATTTATTTCTCCAATCCCATGTTAGGCTAGCAGAGTTAATCTCCGCATGACCTTCCTCGACCACAGATTTGAACAATTGGACGACAGCTCTAGGGAGCAGGTCTCCTTCTTCAGCAGAAGATCCTGAGTTTACGAGGGCATCGGCCTTTCTGTTCTGGTCTTGGGGTACATGGACTAAGGTCCATTCTTTGAAGCGACGTAATGTGATTTGGGTTTTGTCCAAATACGTCTGCATCATGTCCTCTCGGGCTTCGTAACTTCCGTTCACTTGGCTTACTATGAGGAGGGAATAGCATTTTGCCTCGATGGTGTCAGCTCCCAAACTTTTGGCCAATTCTAAGCCTGCAATCATAGCCTCATAATCGGATTCATTGTTAATTAGTTTTGTGGTTTTTATCGATTGTTTGATTATGCCGCCGATGGGCGGCTTTAGGAATATAGCGCACCTGGATCCTCGTATGTTTGCGGCACTTTCTTTGAATAGGGTCCATACCTCAGAGGATGTGCTTGATTTTAATAAAAGTTCTTTGTCTACCTCGGGCACGAGGGATGGTGAGAAATTTGCCACGAAGTCCTCCAAGATTTGAGACTTGATGGCCGTCTGAGGTTGATACTCCATATCATACCCTCCGACCTCAATGGCCCATTTGGCCAATCGACCTGATAACTCAGGTTTGTGCAGTACGCTCCAGAGGGGGTAAGTTAACAGTATGCATATATGGTGACACTGAAAGTAAGTCTTCATCTTGCACGAGGCACTTATCAGTGCTAGAGCCAATTTTTCCAGATAGGGATACTAGGTTTTCGGCGTCCCCCAAGGTTCAGCTTATATAACAAACAAGCAATTGTGTACCTTTCTCAACTCGAACCAGTACGCCGCTTACCGCTATTTCGGACACCGCCAGGTATAGGTATAGTGTTTCATTCCCTTGGGCGTGTGCAACAAAAGCGGGCTAGTCAGGTACCGTTTCAATTCTTCTAGGGCGTGTTGGCATTCTGGAGTCCATTTGAAGCTGCTCTTTCTTTTGAGTAGGGAGAATAAATGGTGGCTTTTGTCCGATGACCTTAACATGAATCTGCCCAGGGCTGTTATCCTCCCTGTCAACCGTTGGACGGCTTTTACATTATTCACCACCATGATCTCTTCGATGGCTTTTATTTTGTCAGGGTTGATCTCGATCCCTTGTTTGAAACCATGAAGCCCGGGAATTTGCCCGAGCCTACTCCGAAGACACACTTCTCGAGGTTCGGCTTCATGTTGTAGCTTCTGAGGATGTTGAAAGTTTCATGCAAATGGATCAAATGGTCCTCTACGCGCAGGGATTTGACTAGCATATCATCAATGTATACTTCCATTGATTTTCCTACTTGGTACTCGAACATTTGATTAACCAGGCGCTGGTAAGTTGCTCCCGCATTGCCCGAAGGGCATTACATTATAGTAATATGTACCATACTTTGTGATGAACGAGGTCTTTTCCCTGTCTTCGGGGTTCATCTGGATTTTATTATACCCCGAGTAGGCATCGAGAAAAGTGAGGGTCTCGTGGCCGGCCGTAGCATCGCTCAGACGATCAATATCAGGCAATGAGAAGGAATCTTTGGGGCATGCTTTATTCAAATCTTTATAATCTACACACATTCCCAGCTTGTTCCCCTTTTTGGCACTAATACTACATTAGCTAGCCATTCGGGATACATTTCCTCTCTAATGGATCCGATTTTAAGAAGTTTCGCTACCTCTTCTTTGATGAAGGCATGTTTTACCTCGAACTGCAGTCTTCTCTTTTGCTTTACGGGTTTGAATTTGGGATCAACGCTTAGCCTATGGAAGGTTATTTCTGGTGGTATTCCTATCATATCTAGGTGTGACCAAGCAAAATAGTCGATATTGTTACTAAGAAATTGAATAAACCCTGTCCTGAGTTCGGTGGTCAGCCCCATCACCAGATATACCTTGCAATCCGGGACGTGCTCGATCAACACGGCCTGCTCTAGTTCTTCGATTGTTGATCTGGTCGCATCTGATTCCTTGGGGGCGAAGAAGTCTTCCTCGTCATCTTTGGGGGTCTGCACGCTTCCCTCCTCGTCCGAGACCGGGCATGTGAGGGTTGGCGCCTCATGGTGGACCGCAAAAATTTCTTGTGCTGCCGGCTGTTCTCCATGTATAGTCGTGATGCCATCCCTCGTGGGAAAACATATCACCTGGTGCAAGGTTGAGGGCACTGCCCTCATGCTGTGTCCAAGGCCTGCCGAGTAAGGCGTTGTATCTCATGTCGCCGTCGATGACCTGGAACTCGGTGTTCTGGATTGCACCAGACGTGTTGATCGGGAGGGTAATCTCTCCTTTCGTTACTTCGCCGATCATGTTGAAGCCGTGTAGGATTCGAGGGATGGGAACAACTTGATTGAGAAGCCCCAACTGTTCTACTACTTCCGACCTGATTATGTTGGTTGTGCTACCTGGGTCCACGAGTACGCGCTTTACACTGGTGTTGCTTAAGAGAAACGAGATCACTAGTGCATTGTTGTGCGGTTCCATCATAGTCTCGAGGTCCTCCTTGCTGAATATGAGGGTATATTCGGGTACGCGTTCTCGGGTCAGTCCTTCTTCCATAGCAGATGTTCTCGTTTGTTTGAACATGGGTCATTGGGAGCAGTGGCTCCCCCAATAATCATGTGGATTTTATGTTGGAGGACCTTCCCTTTCGTCCGGGTTGAATCCGGTGGTGTGTCGGCCTCTAGGATGGTCGTGTCCTTTTCTCTATTATTTTCGAAGTAGTCGTCCTTAACCCCATTTACCGAGCTGGACATTCGACCTGAAATTAAGAGATCTTGGGAAAGAAAAAGTGTGAAAGAAAACTTGCGTTTTGTGATGGAACCAACAAGAAAATAATCACTATTATTTTTTCTCCATGGTGGGCGCCAAACTGTTTACCCTGAAAATGGTAACAACAATTAATTTTGTAAATAGGATTCTAAAAATACGTGATCTATTTTTATGCTAGTTGTTAGATCAGATGATGCTAGGAATATGTGGTTTAACAATGAAATGCAAGCTAAAACGAGGCAGTAATCAAACCAAGGGGCTTACTGCCCTAGCTTCGGACTGGTCGATGGGGGACCTCAGGGTCGATACTTAGGCTCGATCTCAAGCTATCGGGGGTAGTCGGGAACGGGATGACAGTTAAGAATGATTAAACAAAGCTCTATATGGCCAATACCAAGCAATAAAGTAAGAACAAGTGAGAGATTGATAAATGCCAAAGTGGATTCGAGCTAGTAAGAACGAGCGATTTAGAGAGAAAGACAGAGAGAAATGTTATTGATCTTGTGGAGAAAATAGTTGGAGTAACATCAGCCAACCGATTACAAAGTGATGTGTATCCCCTTTATATAGGAGGGAAATCCGTCATAGTACAAAACGTGTTAACCGTGAAGGCGTGGAGATAGGGTAGCTGGACGTGACATCTTGAAATAGGCCCCGGATATGCCGGTTTTGTCAGATTAAGTCGTGTTCCTTGGGAACCCCCTCACGCCTGTTGTAGCCCGCTATAGCTGTCGGAATACGGTGTCCTTTGGGCCGATATCTGACGACCCCTGAGGGTAAGTCTCGACCTTGACTCCGAGCTTTGAGGGACATGATCGTAAGATGGCCCTACGATGGGGAAAACGGGCTCCCGGATTTGCCGTATACATCCTTGTATAATCTTGTGCTCTCAAAAGCGTGGTATCTGAACTCATCAAGCTCGTGCAACTCCGTTACTCTACTTGTTGCCGCAACTTCAATATCAAGATTCAACTGTCTCAATGCCCACCAAGCTCTATGCTCCAACTCTACTAGTAAATGACATGCCTTCCCAAACACCAACTTGAATGGCGACATACCAATTAGAGTTTTGAAAGCGGTTCGATAAGCCCAGAGTGCATCATATAACTTCCTCGCTCAATCTGTTCTAGTAGCATTCACAGTCTTAGTCAGCACACTCTTTATTTCTGTGTTCGAGACTTCCACTTGCTCGCTTGTTTATGGATGATATGGGGTGGCCAACTTGTGGCTTACATCATACTTCTCCAACAACTTTGCGAAGGCTCGATTACAAAAGTGAGTGCCTCTGTCACTGATTATTGCTGTTGGGGTGCCAAATCGTGTGAATATGTTCTTTCTCAAAAAACCAATTACCCCCTTGGCATCCTTTGTAGGGAGTGCTGCAACTTTCACCCATTTGGACACATAGTTCATAGCGACGAGTATGTATTTGTTTCCATATTAGCTGACGAAAGGCCCTATGAAATTGATCCCCCATACATCAAACAATTCGACCTCTTCAATTGGGTTTATGAGCATCTCATGTCTGCGGTAAATGTTCCCGGTTCAATGGAATTCATCACAACCCTTTATCCATAAATGTGCATCTTTGAACAATGTTTGCCAGTAGAAGCCCGACTCCAAGACTTTTGCAGCTGTCCTCACTCCTCCAAAGTGCCCACCATATAGTGACACGTGGCATGCCTGCAAAGTAGAAGACTGGTCTATCTCGGGGATACACCTCCGGATCATGTTATCAATACAAATCCTGAATAGATAACGTTTATCCCAATAATACATGCGACAATCAAGAAAAAACTTTTTCTTTTGAACATAGGAAAGGTCATAAGGAACAATATCGCTCACCGGGTCGTTTGCAATATCTGCATACCATGGAACTTCCTCGAGACTCATGGCTTGTAGCTGTTCATCTGGGAAAATTTCTAGAATCTCTTCTACCTCAACCCTCTTTTCAGCTCCTTCCAACCTAGACAAATGTTCAGCTACTTGGTTCTTCATTCCCCTTCGGTCATGTATTTCCAAATAAAATTCTTGCAGCAGTAGCACCCATCGAATCAGGCGCGATTTTTGCTCCTTCTTCTCGATTAAGTACCTGAGAGCAGCATGGTCAATGTAAACAATTATCTTCAAGCCTATCAGGTATGACCAGAATTTGTCAAATGCGAACATCACTGCCAGCATCTCCTTCTCGGTCACAGTGTAATTTAGATAGGCTCCACTCAGCATTCTACTTGTGTAGTATATTTGATGCATGATTTTATCTTTTTGCTACCCAAGAACTGCTTTAATAAGATATGATTTTATAAGAATTTGTATACTTTACTATTTTATTATACGAAAATAATGATGATCGCCCTCCTCTTGCTTGTGGATATGCTTTAGTTCAATGGGCAATAAATGGTTGATCTTATAATGCCATAATGATATGCGACCGCTTATTATTTTCCACTAGGATTAGAGTCCTTAAACCAAACGGTTTGTTCACCTATTTAGGTAATGACACACCACTCCTCCAACCCCACCAAAAAAGAAAGAAGAAGAGACTATCGACATGCTCGAACACTCGGTGACTGTTATCGACTATCGACATATTAATTTATCGAACACTAAAACTTATAAGACCTCAAAGAGGCATATTCGAGCTCACAAGACCTCTAAGAGGAATCCCCTTGATATTAAGGCCAAGGCCATCACACTCGGGGACTAAAGGCTATAGCCATATAAAAGACTACGATCATATGAAAAGGCTACAACCAAAATAATGTAGCTCGGAGATGTCCGACATCCTCTATAAATTAAAGGCCATACACTATTAAAAAACCAATTAAATCAAGCTACCCTCAGCAAAAGCAAAATATGAAGGGTTTCGATAAATTCAGCCCCCGAAAAATCTAAGGGCGCTGATAAATTAGCCCTCGAATGATCTAAAGGCTTCGATAACACCGGACTTCGGAAAAACCTTTAGAGGTATTCGATTATACTTACGCAAAAGAAATGACTAATAAGGTTTCAATACGCCGAGCCATCGAAAAACCCAACGGGTACAAAAACACATGCTAAGGTATAACTAAAATATCACTAAGTCTTTTAGCCGAAATGAGGGAAAAATTACAAATTTATTTTAGAGGCCGAAATGTCCCAATATAAAAAGCCTAAGGGCCAATTTTAAATGAGCATAAGGGCCAGCTTAAAAGAGCCTAATGGCCGAGATATAAGAGCCTAAGGGGCCAATCTCGAAAGGCTTAAGGACCAAAAACCTATAGTTCGAGACTTCGCTTTCATTTCGATTTGGACATAAGGATCACAATATCGCGACCTTAAAACGGATCGATTTAAACTCAGCTCGAAAATTATTATACCTCTCGATAAAGATCTAAGGGTTTGTATTACCCTGAACCCCAAATCGATCATCAGACTAATCATACAAACAAAGTCTTCCATAAATAAAGGCAATGTTAAATCCAGTACTAACCAAAGACGAGATAAAAAGTTCCCCTCGTATTTCCAAAAGATGATTACAGGAAATATTTACAAAAGGGAGGCTTACAAGAAAACCAAAATAAAGTAACCTAATACTACTTCGGGGTCAAATCCTTAGCAGCTGCATTTGCAGGAGTCGCATCTTGGAGAGCCTCATCCTCGAGGACTTCATCCCCATCTCTTTCACTTTTAGAAACACTGGCTGGATCAGCTTCATTGGAAAGCAGAGCAGCTGCCTCTTCTTCCAAAATATTCTTCGCTTCAATATCGGCTGAATGATTGAAGTCGCGAACATGTATCTTCTCGAGGGTCATCCTCCGAGATTGACGCATAACATGGTCAAGGGTACAGGATAACTTAGCCTCTGCTATAGAAGAAATATCCCTTGCCCCAGTTTTAGAAACTTCAGCATCGGCTCGATAAGAAGTCATAATTGCCACAACATCAAATTTGGCCTTGGACAATTCAACGACAGATCTGGCTTTAAGCTCCTCGATTTCGAGGCCCCGAGCTAGGCTCTCCTCCTTCACACCTCGAAGCTGGTGTTCCAGCCAAGCCAACTGCTCTCTTTGAGTTTCCTTCTCAGAGGAAAGATTGTGCATGCCTTGCCTCCACCCCAGGATATAGGCTTCTTTCATCTTAAGCTCCTTCCCAATCTGCGCCTCCAAGTCAGATTCAACTAACACTAACAAAATTAAAAGTGTCATTCGCTAAAACAAACAAGTACATAACAAACCATCAAGATCTATGTTACCTTCTCAACATACTCGGCTCGACCTTGGCATGCCTACGTCAACTCAACTCGAAGATCGTAGATCTCCATCTCTTTCTTAGCATAGAGCATTTTGACGACGTACCTCTCCTCCAAAGTCTTTTTAAGCTCAGCCTCGCATCGAGCAAGATCAGCTTGGGACTTGGAAAATGCCCCCTTATGGAGCACCACGACCTTCACAAAAAAGGAGGAAAGATAGATTCAGGACAACTAAAATAAAGGCGCATGTATAAAAAATAGGAAACTCACTTATTTAAAGAGATTACGAGCCTCCTCAATATAAAAGAGGCATCGGGGTCGGGACCATCGTCAAGCCCTGCGAGACATTCTCGAAAGATGTCATGCCCTTCGTGGCTTGCTTCCACTTCAGAAGAACTCATATTATGGGCATATCAGATTTGTCCCTCGGAGAACTCTGGACTATGAGGTGAATCATCAACATTTATCACCCCAAGTGATTTATTAGGGGCATCTTCTCTTATCTGAAGAGGCTCGGGGTTAGGTCGTTCGGCCTTGCCCTCCAAATGATCTCCTA